AAACCTTTTTCTTGCACACGCCTCCTGGAGAAGAATTTTGTCCGTTGCTCAACTTTTTATCAGCAGAGGGGCTCCCGGGACCCAGAACTTCTATATATGGTCATTTGCAACCTACCTGGATGCCTCACCTGCTGAGTCAAAGGCTAGGGGAGTGATTCATGTCTAGTGGAAGAATGCTGTACACTCAGAAAACAGTTTTTTTTTTTTCCTTCAGAGAAAACCGAATTTCCCCAACTCTCCATGTCCGATACCCTAATTCACCTTTCTCCTGCCTTCAAAAAATAAAAGTAACACAAACTGCACTTGTGAGGGGGAAAATGAGCTCATAGGAAGGGTGGGAACAAAGTTCTCAACAACACAGAACTCCGAGCAGAGGCACCGAGGCCCGCCCCTTCCCCTTCTTCTTTCAAATGTTTCCAAGGCCTTTAGGAATGAAGGGCCCGGCTTGTCTGGATCCCCTGGAAGCGAGCTCGGGTCGCCAAGACCCGGAGTTTAGTAACTTCCTCCAGCATTGCTGCCCGGGTTCAGTCTCCTCCATTCCGACCAAAGGGGAAGGGAAGTGGGCTTGGTTGGGGGGGAGAGACAGGGAGGGGACAGTGCGGGGACCTCGCTGCGCTCGCAAACATCGTGGACGGAAGAGGCTGGGATTTGCTGCCCCGTGGGCGCAGCAGGGAGGGCGTGGGAAACTTACCCTGAGGCGCAGCGGCCGCGAACCCGAGGGAGAAGCTGCGGGAAGGTGTGCGCTCGGCTGTCGCTCCGGGCTGGTCTGGACGGCGACCAGACCGCGACTGCGCCCTTCCTCAACCCCTCCTCCTGCCTCCACCCAGTGACCGCCCAGGCCCCGCCAGAAAGAGTCACTGGGAGCTGTGCCTTGACCCAGCCACCCTATCCCCTGTACTCAAACCTTTCCTCCGCCTTTATTCCCCCTCCCTTCTTCGATCTATTTCTTCAGGGTTCGGCTTGTTTCTAGACATCGTGAATTCAGAGTTCCTCACAGGTACTCTATCTAAGTAACACTTACCTAGCGGGTACTTCGTGGCAGGCACCGTTCTAAATCCTGCATAATAGCCATGCTACAAGGTAGAGGCTGTTTTTATACTCTAATCCCCTTTTTACAAGTGAGGAGGTACAAAGGCAAGGGAGGTCAGTCACACCGAAACGACAGCGGAGCTAGGTTTGGAGCGCAGGAATCTGGGGAGTCCCCACGGTAGGCCTGTTGGCTCCCGGGTGAGGCTTAGAGCTGGGGAGGCACCGTGGTATTCTAAAGGCGTTGGAACCTCACTATGTCAAGGGAAATAAAAATTAAAACCCCAAAATAATGGTCAATCTTATCAACTCGACACAAGCCATAGTCATCTGGGAGGAGGGAACCTCCATAAGATGGGGCTGTAGGCAAGCCTTTTTCTTAATGGGTGACTGAGGTGGGAGGGTCCAGTCCGTTGTGGGTGGTGCTACCCCTGGGCTGGTGCTCCTGGGTGCTCCTGGACTGGGGCGTCCGGGCAAGCAAGACAGGAATTAGCGTTCCTTCCTGGGCTCTGCACCAGTTCCTGCTCCAAGGTTCCCGCCCTCTGGCTTCCTTCCCTTCGGGGATGGAGTGTGCTGTGCAAGTGTTCGCTGAAATAGACCCCTCAAGTTGTTTTTGGTCTTGGTACTTAATCCCCGCAGTAGAAACCCTAATGCTGCAGCCCTTTAATACAGCTCTTCATGTCGTGGTGACCCCCAACCATAAGATTATTTTCGTTGCTACTTCCTAACTGTAATTTTGCTAACGTTATGAATCGTAAAAATGTGTGTTTTCCGATGGTCTTAGATAACCCCTGTGGAAGGTTTGATCCCCACTGGAGGTCTCGACCCACAGGTTGAGAACCCTTGCCCTAAGACATGCACTTAATGCTAATAGTGTCACTCCCTATGGGCCAAGCATTCAAACACATGCATCTATAGGGGCCAAATCTATTCAAACTTCCACTGGCTGGTGGCTGGGTCAAGGAAAAGAGAGTGAGTTTTCTTAAAGACTGTGGCCGCAAACTCCATTGGATGGCCACATACTTGAGAGTATATAAGCAGAACAAGTTGGACTTGATGGGAATAAAAGAACAAAAACAGCACGAAGTCGGATGGTAAAGAATTGGGGGTGATGGATCTGCAGGAGTTGGGGAAGAGAAGGTGTATATGACCAAAACACAATGTATGCCATTCTCAAGGAATTAATAAAAGACTTTAAAATATTAGTAAAACCTGAATAGGTAACAAGTGAGTGCAGTTAAGATAAAAACAAAGGAAACAAGCATCCAAAGTAGTGATGGGACCGCAGCACTTGCCAGTGCATAGAGGAGGCCGTGGTTCAATCCCCAGTGCTGCCGGACAATGGTCTGTACCCTGTCGCCTGTATTTTAAATAAATGCTGATTGGTCAGTAGCCAGGTAGGAAATATAGGAGAGGTGACCAGACAGGAAGTGGGGGGGGGGACAACAAGAATTCTGGGAAGAGGGAAGTTTCAGTCTGCAGTCTTCATCCAGAGACAGAGGAAGCCAGACACAGAGCAAGCAAGATGTGACTACCTCGCCAAAAAAGGTACCAAGCCACGTGGCTAACACTGACAAGAATTACGGGATAAGATAAGTTATAAGAGTTAATAAGAAGCCTGAGCTACTAGACCAATCAGTGTTTATTTAAAATACAAGTGACAGGGTACAGACCATTGTCCCACAGCACCCCAGCACTGGAAATAGGAAGGTATTCAAAAGAAACCGCTTGCTAATGTTGCAGGGCTCTTGAGGCTACTCATGCCTCTTGCACTTGTGTGGTGAAAATATGGTATGAAATTGTGTTCTTATTCATTTCCCTCCAGCTCTGCCTTTAGAGAAATGATGGTGGTATGTTGGGGTAGATACTAACACAAGCTTATACATGCTGCACGTAAGACTTCTGACTTCTAGTGGCTCTGTGAGTCGGTGGTTAAACACTAATTGGAATGGCAAATTTCAAAGAGATACTTGGTTTGAGCTCAGGTGTTTGCACTCTGTGTTCAAAACAAACTGCAGCTGAAGGACACAGGGTTTAAAGACTACATGAGTTCAAGTAGAAGAGATGTGGTACACCCAGAGGGATTGAACAAAAGAGCTTAATAGAGAGAGTGCTTACAGAAGGATGGGCGGTGTTACCATGGCCCCCTCCCTCCCTCCCGGCATCATGAAGTTCTTGAGAACTGGGAGGAGTCTGAAATCATTGCTGTCTCCACGAGGGCAAGAGAGGGAAGGGATTATCTGGAACTTCAAAGTACAGAAACTGTAGAAGAGAGACCGTCCCACAGGGCCTGTGCCCGAGATCACAAGGCAGGGCCTGATCACTGGAAGCTTCTCTTGCTTCGGTGGCCCGTCGCAGCTGAAGACACCAGAACACTCGATGTCTGTCAGTTTCCTGGAGCTATTGGTTGCAAACATTGCTTCACTTCTGAAACATTTCTCAGTGGGATGTCTGAGGGAATATTTTGGTTCTGGTTTTGAACAACTTGTGGAAATTATCCCAGAAGTTGGATCCTAATAAACTCTTATCATTTGTTGACTAGTTCTAGAACCTGATAGCTTTAAGCCAATACAGACCTAAGGATTAAACTTCCGCCAGCTTTTAAAGAAGAGTTTGCAGCATGGTTCTGTCATATTACATTAACCAAGCGATGGGACTCTTTCAATACAAGCATCCAATCAGGTGTAAGAATCTGAGGCCAATTTTAAGTAACTCTTCTCCTTGTTAAGGCTTTGAGATTCTGGTGTTCGTTTAAAATTTTCAAAGACAATTATCTAGGACACCGGCCTCAGAGTTGTTATGAGGTAGAGGTGAAAATCCTGATGGGTTCGCGGTACTTGGTTGTTTTCCAGATATACTCAATACATCATTTGACCTTGTCCCTAGACTGTGACCAGGCTGTGTACTCAAGGCACCATTCTGATCAGCTCTTGTAAGCTCTCTCTCCAGCTCATTTTGAGGAAGCATCTAAAAAAGACATGCTGGTATCCCAAAATTAAGTGGAGACATACTAAACTATATCGTGGGCTTCTCATGACCTAAAAAGCCCTCAGTTTCATGTGTCTGAACATAGTAAGCTAGTCTAGATATTATTTCCTTCCTCAGTTTTCCACTTAAAAATCATATAAACCATTTTAAATTTTAAATGGAAATGAATATTCTGTCACAATTCCTGAATATTACGGCGATGAAATTGCAGGTCTCAGGAGCATTTTTTGTAGCCAATCACAAGAGTTTAGAAACTGGTTTCTGGACCTGTTCCTCCATGTGCTCCACAGACAGGGACCCAAGAGCTGAGTCTGCTGCTAGGCAAAGGGTGGCAATGGGACACTGTGGGGAGATGAAGATCGTTAGGCCCCGGGGTCATTGATAACTTAAGGGCTTGGCTATGGCATCCCTTCCCCGGGTTTTATGAAAATGTGCTGAGCTTTCAGATCTTGCTGAGTTTGCAAATGTGCCCACAGAGCCATGCTGGTTGCTGTTCTTGGCAGTTTTTCATATTATCAGAGGGTAAAGACACACAAATGCGCAGGCTTGCAGAATGCCAAAATTGCTTGGCCTCAGTTCCATTCTGTCTCTGCCATTGTGTCCTTCACGAGCCAGTAAACTCTTCTTTGAAGATTCTACCATCTCCCAGGTATTTGGGGCACTCAGCAAGCCTTTGCTTATGCAACAAAAAGGGCACAGCCATCCTCACACTGTATCGGAGATCTTGAGAAGATTCAGAGACAACATTCATCCTACTGGATTCACATGGAAATTAAGTTATTTCTCTTTGTTCTGACTGCAAAAGCAAAGCTAGATCTGAGAACATGAATTTATTCAGCATCTTGCTCTTAGCAAGGTCAATATGTTTCAGATTCAATACTAGTTTAGTTTTGCTCTTAAAAAAAAAAAAAGCCTCAAATTGCAGAATGTTGCGCCAGCTCAGTGCAGTCTATACTAACGAGATGAATAATGGAAAAAGGACAGAGTAAAGCAAACAACAGACAACCAGGCTGCCATTTATTATTGATACAAATTTATATAGTGGCATGTGCTATTGGAGAAATCAGAAATTCATAACACACAAATTCATACTGGAAATTTAAAAAAAAATCACTTGAGGGTCAAGAACTCAGGTTGACAGCACCACAAATGTTTTCCTCAGTCTGAGCAGGTGAGAACTAACCAGGGGTAACAAATACCTACAGGAGACTGGGCGTGATAGTTAAGACTGTGCGAACGCTTCCCTACACAATTTCCTATCCAAAGGGAGGAACCTGCAGGAGCTTTCAGAAGACCCTGGTACAATAAGGGGGCAGGCAAGGCAGAAAAACGGTGCTGACAACGGTTTCTTTTGGCCTTCCCAGCCAGCGTCTGACAGCAAGGAGCAATCTTGCTGCGAGTTTTTCCATGCCTTCCCACCTGAGGGTACGATAGAAAAGGTTAGTAAAGCACACACAAGGCATTCGTGAATAAGTAAGAAACGTGGAAAGTGGAGCTTTCACTGAAATAGAATCCGCAGTAGTCATCAAACTATCCAACCCCAAAGATGAAATAGAAAACACAAATGAACAGTTCGACACCCATGGGGCAAATCTCAGCCTCGCACCTCTCAACGCTTTATGTGGAAAAAGTGGGCATCCATTAGAGAAGAGCTGGCTTCTCATAGATGTCTGGAGTGGCCAGGGGAGCAGCAGGGAGGCAGGGCAATCTCAGGAGCTTTTCCTTCAAGAGTTAACCACGCCCACGTCCTGTGGGCATGCACAGGCTGTCTCTGTCACTCCCCACCCTGTACCTGAAGGCCTCGGGGTTCAGTCCTCCTTCCCCCACTGGGCTCTTTCTGTCACCTCCTCACCCATCCATGTCCCTCCGGCTGTGAAGGAAGGTGTGTGTGAGCAGCACATAGGAGCCCGTGGGAATTTGCTTCTCTAATGTGTGAATCCCACCACCGGGAGGTGTGAGCAGTAAGGGGCCAAGTGGGGATGGAAAGCTGCTCTACAGAAGACCGGCTCCCTGTCCTTGCTCAAGCCCTCTGGGTTGCCCTGGAGATTTAGTGCCTGGCTCACTAGCTTTGCCACATGAGATGGGTATCAATTCCAGATTCTTGAGGCTATTCCAGAATTTCTGCCCTGAATTATAGAAGCTGGTTTGCAGCAGCACCTGAGCAGCCAGGAATGTCCGGCTGGGCTCAGTCCAACACACACTCTCCCGAACACACCGCACTACCCTCAGAACGTGAAATCGGCTTCCCCCTAATCTGTTCTAGATGCCAGCACACAGCTCACACATGACTGCAGTCTTTTCTATTCCTGCCTCCTCGGGACCCCCACCAGTCATGCCCACCTAAAAATGTGCTTCCCCCCTCACTCTCCCCATTGGAGGACTATTTCCCAATCCAATCAAGTACAACAGAGAGAACTTCTACATGCCCTGTAACACTGCCTGCAGACTTGCTCACCTCCGTCCTGCGCCTAATCGCTGCCACTCACCCGTCACACCATCCATTCACCCCACTCAGCAAACATCCCAGGCATGCTGGTAACGGGCAAGGCACTGCTGAAGAACGAGGTGTGGCTGGCACAGGCTCTGTGCTCAAGCTTTGGGGCTGCAGAGTGGTCTGTCCATTTCTCATGGTTCACTCATTCTAGATTTTTGGGAGGAGTCTGGAATGTTCTCAAAGAGTTTGGGTCGTTTCCATACAAATACAACACAAGGCGGATGCTGTGATATTTGCTCAGTGGTAGGGTGTGCCCGGCGCCCGAACAGCGCTCACTGCTGGCTCGTGGGACTGGGCCTCTGGCTGAAAACACAATGCGCACACCTAATGTTTGGCCAGTAAGGTAGAAATGAGAAGGGAAAAAAGGCAAGTTGTGTGCACACCACACGCAGAATATTCAAGTTGGTGTTCGAACACTACGCTATGTAAAAGCCACAGGTTTGTGGCCTTGTCGTGAACTGATATGGGGAAATAAAGCGCCTGAGCTACCAGAAAAGAACCCCCGGAGAGAAGTCCCAGAACTACAGTGCCAGGGACAGTGCCTCTATGCGCTGTGTGACAGACAGCGAACAGGCCCCATGTGTATCTATAAACTCTGGTTTCACTCCAGCTTCTAGTGAACTTGCTTATCCAAATGATTTACTTACTTCCCAGAAACGCTCACAAAACTAAAGACCCAAAGCACACGGGTTCCTGCTGCATTGCTGCACCGCAGAAGGTCTGGGGAAGCGGGGGAAATGTGGCTGGTTTTTAAAGCATCTCTGGCACGCCAAGACTGTGGTATTTCGCAGCACTGTTCAGGGCCCTGACTTGAGCCCTCCCCGATTTTAAGTAATGGATACGCACTCCAGTCTAAAGCATGTTGAGATCCTCATTCAAAAAGACCTCTAGAGAAGCCAAGTATACTCAGAGGGCAGGATACATAGGACATCAAGTGGAAACAATGCCCAAATGTCTAAGTGGCACCGATTAGAATTCTTAATGGAATCTGTCAGCAGGCTGTACTCTGCTGCCCAGAAGTCCAGAAAAGCCCACACAGTAGAAAGCTGGGGGCAAAGAAATAAAAAACAAAAAACAAAAAAACAAAAAACAAAGGCTCTGTATGCTCAGATATCTGCTACCCACACTGTGTCCAGCACTCTTGATTTGACCGGTAAACCTAAAAGTCCAGTGTCTATCCTAATCCTAAAGCACCTCTGTGCCCAGCCTTACAGCGTTACGCTGTGCAGCCACTGAGACGGTTACGGGGACCTGTGTGCATAGCTAGCTCTGCTCCGCTACTCTGGGGGTCTCGGTGGTTCTATTTCCTGAGGTAGCTCAGTTGTGAGTTCTACGCATGCGATGTGTGCTGTTCACCACTCAAAGCTAACTTTCCCTTTTTTTTTTTTAATCTGAAGGATTATAAAAATACCAGTATTTCTCCCTGTTTTATCAAAATGAGTTTAGAAAAAAAAATATACATGGGTCTTCTCGTTAAACTTCTGTTCCGTCTTGTAAATTGTTGTGGACTCTGACTTCCAGATTCATTTTTTTGACTTTAGCACCTTTGAATGTATACGAGCCCTCACAGTCACCCAGGATGTTGACATTGCGCACGGTGCAGTACTGTCTGTTGACATTCTTCTCCACCTTGTCCGTGCTTCTCTTGGCTACGTCCACCTTAGTATTCAGGGGGTATTCCTCCAGAGTGTCCTCTGGGGGCTGCTTCTTTTTCTGTGTCTGGCATTTTCTGGTGATGAAACAGGCCACCAGCAACAGCAGAAGGAGGAGCATAATAGCGGCCAGGGCACTGCCAATCGATGCTCCAGTCTGGGACAGGGAGGCAGCTACGATGGGCTCCTGCATCTCTAGGTTCAGGAACTTCATGTTGGTGCCGTTCTTGACTTGGTCTCCTTCATTGTCATAGATGAGGGAGTCATCAAGAGACAACCAGCCTCGGGGGTCCACCAGGTCCCTTCGGTGGCGCCTCAGAGAGGCTGTGAGAGAGCGCTGGACCCGGGGCCTCGAGATGCTGTCGGGGCCAATGATGTAGATCACCTGGAGATACCACTGGTGCCCCGCTTCCACCTGCAGAGGAGAGAGGCGTGTTATCTGGGAGCATTCGGAAGGGAGGAAATGAAGGCACCTGCTGTGACAGGGGGCGCAGAGAAACGGTCTCAATTAAGGGTTGCCAAGCATGCTCCTTGTTCCAAGATACAGGGAACTAAATCAAGCACCAGGGATTCTGCTTTATTTCAGATTATGGTGATCTCGGGGCAGCTATACACATTCTTTTCAATGCCCCTACTCATGTGGAATAGCCTAAAAATTTATTTGTCATGGTCTCTTTAGCTTATGCTTATGAGTTATTGGTCCTTATTAGTAACCATAAAATAACACGACAATAACTATATTAACTACCACATTTATTCTCTGTGCCCTTCAACTGCTCCTTATGCTAACTTACTATTTACTGATGAACTTCAGTTAAAATGAAGTCAGTCAACAAATTTTCACTAAACAATTCTAAACCTAATATACAGGTTCGTGACAAAAATGGCTAAACTCGAATACTTTCTAGATCACCCCTCAGAGGAGGAGCATTGAGTACTTTATTGCCCCCTCAGCTGCTTGCCTGGGAACACTTCAGAGCTTTGAAATAACTTCAAAAAAGCAGCCCAGAATCCCTGAAACCCAAGGTCGTGGATAACCACTTGGAGACAGAAAAAAAAAAAAAGTGCAAAATCTGATCTTGGAAGGTCTTGTTTGTTGTTTGGGTGTTTTCTTTCCTATGTGGTACTAGTCACTTCTGTCCCTCTAACTTGGACACTGTGACTTTGTTTGGTGTTTTCCAAAGGCCTGTGAAATCCGCGGGTCCACCTGACTGCCCCAAAGCTAGAAATTCAAAAGAATTCAGGAAGAATCAGAGCAGCCCATATACTGATGGACAATGACAGATGCTCAAATGCAAATCAAAGGATTTTATCCTTGTTTTTTTTTTTTTTTTTTTTTTTCGAGACAGAGTTTCTCTGTGGCTTTGGAGCCTGTCCTGGAACTAGCTCTTGTAGACCAGGCTGGTCTTGAACTCACAGAGATCCGCCTGCCTCTGCCTCCCGAGTGCTGGGATTAAAGGCGTGCGCCACCATCACCCGGCTGATTTTATCCTTGTTTTGGTCTGATGGGGATAGGGAAAACTTGGGAGAGAATGATAGGTTTCATAACAAGGAAAAAGGCCTCATGGCAAGAGACTTATCAAAAGAAACTGGCGGTCACCTTATAGAGGGCGTCTACTTTGAGGGTGAATCCATCCACACCTGGCATGCTACTGACCACATGGAACTCAGGCAACTCAGAAGCAAAGTGGGCCTCAAAAGGCACATCGTGGAAGTACTTGTCGGTGACCTCCGGCTGGCTGCGGTCCTAGGATGGAAAGAGGAAGAGGCGGGGCATGTGAATGGCAATGCTGAGAAGAGGAGGATGTTCTACCTGCTTCTCTGGGTTGGGTGAGAAGTGTGTGCTGTGGACAGTTTTCCCACAAGTGGGTCCTGCCTCTGGACACTACTAAGGGGAGCTTCTGGTAAGTTTTATTTAACCTGTGTCTCAGAGGCCATATGTCCAAGGACAACTATGAATGTCAATCAACACAAAATTACAAACTTTATTTTTTTGGTTTTTTTTTCTGTTGCTAGTCATCTGTGAAGCCATTGACAAGAGCCTTGTACATGAATTCATTTTTCATATCTAAAGGCTGGACATGCCCAGCAGACCAGCAGTTCTCAAACTACATGGCTTTAGGACCCTTTCCATTGTTAAAAGCAAAGGAAGACCCCCCAAAGAACTTTTATTTATGTGATTTTCTTCTATCTATATTTGCTATATTAAAAATTAAACCTGAACAATTAAATAAAACACTCTTGTATCAATTCATTTTAAATTTACAATGGAAAGTTGATTATATGCTAATCTAAGTAAGATTTTTTGTGAATTATGTTCACATTCATCTTTGTTCCCAAAGAGACCCCCCTTTTTTGTGATTCACAGCTGCTTTTTTTGTTTTTGTTTTTGTTTTTCAAGACAGGGTTTCTCTGCAGCTTTGGAGCCTGTCCTGGAACTAGCTCTTGTAGACCAGGCTGGTCTCGAACTCACAGAGATCCGCCTGCCTCTGCCTCCCGAGTGCTGGGATTAAAGGCGTGCGCCACCACCACCCGGCGGCACAGCTGCTTTTTATCCAGTCAGTTGTGATAAACGATCTTAGCTGATACATGAAGAAAATCTAGCTTCAAACACAGCTATCAGTGGGAAAAAGGAGGTGTCCATTGACGACATTTTTCAGGTAATTGAGGGAGACTGGTAGACAGACCGACAGGCAGACAAACTGTGTGTGGTAGAGACATGCTTGTTTTGGAGTGTGTGCTTGTGTGTGGATGCCTGGCATTGCTATGGGGTATATCACTTCCTCATCTTATTTTTGACATGGGTTTTTCACTGAAATTGGATGTCAGTGGCTGGTTAGGTGGGCTGGCTAGTGAGGTACAGGGATCCTCCTGTCCCTGTCTTCCCTGTGCTGGGATGATAGTGACCACTCCTTCTGTGTGCTCTGAGAATCAAACTCAGGATTTCATACAGACATGGACAGCATTTTACTGACTGAGTCAGCTCTCCATTCCCTGGGTTGCCTTCAAAACCTCCTCCTCCTCCTCCTCCTCCTCCTCCTCCTCCTCCTCCTCCTCCTCCTCCTCCTCCTCCTCCTCCTCCTCCTCCTTCTATTTAGTTAGTTAGTTAGTGTGTGTGTGTGTGTGTGTGCGCACATATGTGAATGCTTGAGGAGAGGACATTTGCCAGAAGAGGGCATTAGATCCCCTGGGGGTTGTGAGCTTCCTGATGTGGGTCCTGAGAATCAAACAGGGTCCTCTGCTAGACTAGTACATGCTCGTAACCACTGAGCCATCGCTCCAATCCTGAAGCACAACATGGACTGTGAACTCATACTAATACACCTTCTGGTGAGGACACGAGCATGCAATGGTGGCACCTTATACTACGAGGAGGGCAATTTCCACCTTGTAGACTCTATGAAGGAGTGTGAGGGCCCCTCAGGGCCTTTGAACCAGACTCGAAGAAACACTGGCTTAGACTCTCCTCTTCCTGGAATGTCAGCAACAGCATGTCATGCAGCCCACCATAGCCAGTAAACTGGCCATGTGCTAGGTGACCGATCAGAGAGAGAAAACAATAAAAGGAAAAACAGAGAAAACGCTGTGCTCTTATCGGAATTCACAGCCGAGACATTGGCTCACTGTGGCTCCTTGGCATTAACAGTGACAGAGAGCCTACCAGCAGGAGGAATCTGTGCTTCAGGTGCTTGTTTGGCTGAATGCATCCGTACTGGGGTCCTTCGTTGTAGATTGTCCCCGTGGGGTCAAAGAAAGGCACATAGCCGTCCTTGCCAGTGCAGAGATAGACTTTCTCCAGCTGCAGCTTGTAAGCAGAGTGGAGGCTTTGTTCTGGGTTCCAAAGGACTCGGCCGTAGAGGATCTGCCCTGCAAAGATCCAAAGAAAGACACCAACCAGGTTGGACTCCAAGGTTAAAGAGGAAGAAGTGTTTGCCATACGTCCTCAGAATCAAAAGTGCGTCTTCTATGAAGAGCTCTGATTCCAGGAGTCCCGGAAATACACATTTACCATCCGCCGCTCCTCTCATTCATTGATATTACTGGAGCATTTGTTGTATTACCAACCACTCAGCTGCGCACAAGGGATGCAGAGGTAAGTGAGATGCAAACGAGAAGGCAGACGCGAGAGCAAAGAGTTTAATCCCATTGACTGACAACATTTATCAAATCCGGTATTTGCTGTACTAATTTTTTCTCAGGCAGTAACATTCGTGGGGGTGCTGGCAGACTTCTAGCTGAGGAAACTGAGGCACTGAGGGACGGAGCTGCTGAAAGTTGCCAAGAGTGCAGGAAGTGAAGGCAGGAGGACTGAGAGAGATGCAGAGCAAGGGACTTTGGCTTGACAGCTCACTCTAAGAGCATGTGCAACGCCGTACGTCACCTGCTACAACTGAGGAAAAGGCTTTATACTGAAGACTGAGTTGGCAGGAATCCTAATATGGGGACTGTTTTTTTGAACAGCATCTGAAATGGTCTCAAGTTCTTCCTTTCTTTATTTAATTCTTCCAAGAGTTCAAAAGATAATCTTCGTCATTATTCCCTTAAGTAGCCTATGCTAGGAGACCCACAGCATTGCCGGTACAGCTGGGATCTACCCCTGCAATCTCTCCAGGGAATTCAGAGCGGAGACAACTTAGCCAAGTTAAACACCAGGTTAGAATTAGACTGGAAATGCCAATCCTCTTCCCCCAATATGCCAATCGCTACAGCACTGAGACTAAGCACGCATTTTATAAGTTGGTGGAAGAATGGGAGTCTTTCCCTTACTTCTACCTTGGCTGCCCTGGAATGGAAGCCTGGGAGATGTTCCCCGCAGAGTTTACTGACCGACACATAGGCAGAGATAGGCAGCCAGCCCAGGGGCCCAGAAGAGTCTCCTCTCTAGGCAGAGCCGCTTCCTGCGGCTCGAGGAAGAAACTGACCTTTGGAAAAGGCTCCTTTGTAATCCATTTCTGCCAGTGACAAGTCAGACGTGTTGGGGTCCATCAGGAACACCTTCTCGTTATTGCAGAGCTGAAACTCAGTGTTGAGCGAATACACGACCGGCACGGGGCGGTTGGTCTGCTGGAACGCAATGGGGATCAGGAACCTAGACGGGGAGAGGTGAGAGCTCCTTGAGGGCAGAGCCAGCTTCACATGGCATCTGAGCTGTCCTCTTGGCCGCCCTTCTTGACAGGGTACGCAGCTTCACTGTGGCTGCTGACCATTTTCTGAATGTATTCATAAGGATAATGTCTTTTATTTGTTTTTATTGTTTGAGAAAGGGCCTTGTAGGGTATTTGATCACACTGTGAACCCTGAGTTTGTTTTATTTACTGGAAAAACCTGTGTGTAGTGGGGCTCAGCCCTAGCACACACCTTTAATCCAAGAGTTTTGTGCTTCTTGTAAACAGGATTAAATAAAAACAACATTCCATAGGCCAAGAGGTCTATGTCAGCAAGCAACCAGCCGACGGGAAGTAACCACAGAACATCAGCAGGAGTCAGAAAGACGGATAAAGAGATGCGTTGCAGGAAGTAAAATGAAGGGACATTGAGTCTGGGGACCTTTTGGTTTGAAATGACAAGGGGTAGTCTCTTTCTAGGATGTTGGCAAAGGAGGGAGTTGAGCTAGCTGTTTTCTCCGCCTCTCTGAGCTAGCAGGTTTTCACCCCAGCATCTGGCTTCTCAGTCTTCACTGGGAAAATCAAATGGCTGAGATTTAGTTAAAAAACAACATTTAGATTTAGATGAAAACAACAGGGTCTTGTGTAGTTTAAGTCAGCTTGACCTTTCCTCTTCTTTCATTCCTAGCCCTAGGATAACAGGCATGCACCCCATCCACAGTCAGTTTCTACAATGCTGACATCACTCCAACACCCTACCAACTGAGCCACATCCCTGGCCCTGCCTCTCTCTATGAACAGGATAACTTAGTCTTTAGAACTCTTTGGTATCAGCTGCACATTTCCCCCTCAAAGTGGTATGTGTGTGTGCATGTGCGTGTGTGTGCGTGTGTGTGTGTGTGCATGTGTGTGTGTGCATGTGTGTGTGCATGTGTGTGTGTGTGTGGTGTATGTTGTATGCATGTATGTGTGGATATATGGACATGTGGTGGCCAGGGGTTGGTGCTGGTTCTTCCCCTCAGACACTCTCCATGGTATTTTTTGAGGTAAGGCTCTAGAGAACCCGGAGGTCACAGATTTGCTAGACTTGCTGGCTCCCAGAACTTGCAGGCTGGATCAGAGTATGGACTCATATCTGAATTACATGGAGAGTTCAAATGCAGCCTGACTGACAGCAAGCAAGACTCTGTCTTAAAGGCTGAGCAGAAGAAAACACCTCCACATGAAATACCACAAATAAAAATCGCTAAGCACTGGTACTGCTCTGTTTAAGACAGGTGCCAAATAGATGCTTGTCACACGTGTCCTCTGAGAAGCTGACACCGTCAAAAATGAAAATTTTTAATGTTGAGCAAATTCCTTCGCGTGTCCAAACGTCTCCCTCTGTTCTTCATGGTTTTCCTGACACCATCCCTCCCGCCTGTCTGTGGCAGACTGGGGCCTCTGGTCTTCCTGAATTCCATTCCACCAGTCCCCTAAAGTGGCTCTTTGATTACCACAGTGCCCCAGCTAGACTTTTCCAAGATTCACACACCGAATCCTGAACTCTTTTGGTAAATTTTTAGATACTCTGTCACACACATATACGAAACTGTTAAAGTGGCTGAGAACGCGAGACTACATAAGCCATGGACACAGGGGAAACCTAATATTATCCCTGCTAATGGTACGCAGCAATAAAATGATGTCCCATAACATGCTGCTATCCCTGAAAATTAGTGCCGTTGCTCAACACACATCAGAGATGATGGGAATTAACACAGAGACCCACAATGGACAACGAGCCGAGAGTGGGAAACTTGGGAGCACTCTTTCCTGCATGGGAGGTCTTTACCAAAGCCTCAGGGATTTGCCTGGTCACCATGTGTCCTCTATGTGACTGACTGGGATACTTTCAAACACTACTGCTATCAATTATGGTGGCTCAGCATCCAGACAGAGACCATCTAAATCTTCACCTCCTTTCTTGCCAAGGGCTTTTTCTCCACCCAACAGCAGCTACGCTACTTACTTTCTTATTGCTACTGTGGACAAGCACCCCAGAGTCCATATTCAAACACCTCACACCCTGGCCCCCATCTTTTCAGCTCCTCTCTTTTTTTTTTATCACACCATTAATCCTTCCACCCGCAGCAGGACCTTCCCAGACACTCTCCCTGGAATGCAAAGGACCTGAAATACTTTACACAGCTCTGGTGGAGACAGCCACACACAACTACTTCTTTATAAACACTTGGGAGATCAACCCGCCAACTTTTTAAGTTAAATCTACACCTACCATATGACCCAGCCGTTCCAAGAAAACAGGAAACATGTAGTCACACAAGGATTGCACATACATACGCAGGACAGATCTATTTAAAATAGATCCAAGCTGGAAAGAGCCCAAGTGCCCATGTAACGATGAACTGATGGACTGCTATTTGCCATAACAGGCAAGACAACTCAGCAATGGCAGAAACTGCTTATACAGTAACACAGAACACCAAACAGTCACGCCAAGTGAAATGAGCCACAGAAAAATAACTGCGGTTGTATGATAACACATACGGTTACAGAAAACTCACTCTCCTCCTGGTGACAGAGAGCAGATGAGGGCACACCTGGAGAAGGGGAGGCGTGAGGGGGCTACAAAGAGGTGTGAAGAGACTTCTGGGGGAAATGGCTGTGTGTTGTCTTGATCGCTGTGATGTTTCACAAGGATACACATGTGTCAGTATGTATTAAATGTGTATGCATGCATCAGGAGTTTGTTGACCATCAATAACACAACTTAAAGACAATTTAGCCTGCTTGCCAAGTCTCACTGCTCACTTCCTCCTTTCCCTCAGACCTCCGTGTTCCTCCTGCTTCAGGCTCAGGCTGGGTTTAGTCAGATGCCTATCTTGCCAGGTTTAGTCACCCAGTTCACCTCTCTGGAACCCATAGGCTCTGCCTGCTTGCACTGTTTAGTGGATGAGCCGACTGTCTTGGCTCCAAGCAAAAGCTTGCCCCTTCCTTCATGATTGCCCGTTTACTACCCTCAAGGACCTGGCTTCATCCCATGCACCGTTAGCTCTCCCTTTCACAGCAGCACGCAAACATCTGGAAGTGTTGTCTACCTTAAACCACACCTAATAAAAGCTCTTTAAAAAGCCGGGCGATGGTGGTGCATGCCTTTAATCCCAGCACTTGGGAGGCAGAGGCAGGTGGATCTCTGTGAGTTCGAGACCAGCCTGGTCTACAGAGCTAGTTCCAGGATAGGCTCCAAAGCCACAGAGAAACCCTGTCTCGAAAAAAACAAAAAAAAAAACAAAAAAACAAAAAAAAAATAGGGCTTCTCATCTGTCATCAGTTGCTGTACCATTTCTCCAACATTCTTTCTAGAGAAACCCCTTATGCCTATTGCTCCTGCTTGCTGACCTCTCTTGATTTCACCCCATCCCCCAAGGTTAGCATCTTGTGTATCGCACTATCTGGGTACTACCGAACCCGCCATTACCAAATCTAGCAGCCGACTCGCAATCTTTCAACAAGAAAGTGACGCCTCGAGTAGTTCTCTCTTGGCGCCAATGCTATCGTTAGCATCTTCTCTCAGTGTCTTCTAGGTGGCGCTATGTCCTCAGACAGGTGGGCACTAAACTCTAAGGTATCTGAGGCCTGGGTGGTTTTTAACACCCTGTTGTGATATAATCTGTAACCTTAGTGTTCAGACCACTTGATAAGACCCGAGTGAATCCTCACATGGAATGAAGGAATAAGGCAGGCCCAGTGTGGTCTCAGGCCCGAGGTAGGTACAAGCTGGTTCTTTTAAAATAAAATATTTTGTTAATTTATTATGTATTTGAGTGTTTGCCTAAATGGATGTCAGTGCACCACAAATGTGCCTGGTGCCCATGGTGTCCTGGTGAGGGTGCTGAAGCCCCCGGAACCGGAATTACAGATGACTGTTAGCCGCTGTGTTGGTGCTGGGGTTCCCTAGAAGAGCAGCCAGCGCTCTGAACTGCTGAGCCGCTGCTCCAGCTCCATATAGTTGGTCCTTATTCTTCTCCATCGTTTGTGTGTATAAAGTCTCTATGAACGTTGAGTTAGTGGGTGTGGGACACTGATCCCGGGAGATACAGAGCTAGGTTTCTGCGGATGTCTGGTGACAGCATTCCACCAGCAGGACCACACACAACCATTCCTTATGTGTGTTCCTGTTTAAAGACCCCTTTACTTAATACACATTGTTGATTCATTAGCATCAGACTCACAGCCACCAGCACAACAACTCGTGCCTGAATGGAGTTTATCTAATTTTCCATAGGGCACATGACAGCCCTTATGTGCTTAGGAACAGTAGAAAATACATCAGGTCTGTGCTTAGGAGTCACTCAAAACAGCAAGGCCACCGATGAAATGTACACAAGTGAAAACACGCAGCATCCAATAGACCGTGAGGGGTCACTGTACTCAGAGAGCTGATATCAGAAGGCAGAGGACTCTCTTGTTCAGCTCCAGCTGGGGCTGTGCCTGTTAGGTTTTGCGCATCTCAGAATTATAAACACGTGTTAGCGAGCAGGAGAATTCTTAAGTAAAGACACGGAATTAGCAGGGAGCACCGATATTGGCCTACCTCTCTGGGGCATGTGCAGTGCAGGCCAAAGGCTTCTCTCCCGGGTCCACCCACGGCTGTGTGGGCTGCACGGTGCAAGGGATCAGATAGATGGTGTATTCCCCCGAGTAGTCCTTCCTGGAAGCAGACAGAGCAGATTGTTGCCACAGGCAACACCCGAAGGTGACTTAGCCCCAGAAAGACACGGCTTTACTGAGCAGGGTCAGGAGGCATTTCTGCCCCGACAACTCTGTGAGAGCCACTTTCAGGGACTCATCTCTGACTATGCTAGCTTCAGAGTATTTTCCCAAGGTGTTAACAAAACCAAGCATTTTCATTTACTCCAGCCCTTCCTTTGAGGAAAACTATAAAAGGCACACTGCTAATAAAAATCTGGAAGGTTCAGGGGATGGCGAATAGAGAGTTCAGGAAATCTGCCTGGCGATTCGGCTAGTGTTTCTTGTCGACTAACAACCTGCTAACATATTCTTAAAGGCAAGAGCTTCTGTCTGTTAAAACATGAGTGTGTCAGGAGATGCTGTGGAAAAGGAGGCAAATAACATGGAGACAGAGCATCTCTGCAGAGCAGAACGGAAGCGGTGTCCTTGCAACACCCACCTCCACTTGACTAGACCTCCATTTCAGGGTCCCCTTCCCAGACTCCATGGCTTCCTTCCTTTGCAGAGTTGAAGAACACAAAACCATGGATTCTCCTTGGGGGCCACTCAGAAGGAATTCGTGTGCTTATGGCAAGACACAAAATTCTCCAGAAGCCCTTGTGGCCATCACTGACTTGTTATTAGTAGCAGCTCCAGCCCTGGCAGCTTAAGTGGAAGGCAGGAGAACATTCAGAAACATTCCGAATAATCCTCAAGTGTTGATGTTTCAAGCTCTTGAATAAAGTCGAGAAATTCTCAGACCAAGCCCCAGAAGCTTCCGTCGTGGTATTTACCTGTTGTAAGAGCTTGTGGCTCTCCAGAGTTGATGTGGGGAATCAAATGTCTGAGCACTCCATAAGAGTTGCAGGTCAAACTCAATTCCTCCTAGGTGGTCTGGAGTCAATATGAAAGACTTCACATCTGGGAGAGTGTGGTGCTCCATCACGAACTGTCCTGTTTCGGAGTGAAATACACTGTGATTTCGTGAGTTTACAGTGTTTGCCTAGGGACCTGACTTCTGTTCTTCTAGCAAAGAAATAAGGGTGCTGAGGGAGATATGCCCTTGGGGATACATCTGACAATGGCTGAGATAGCACAGCGTCTTAGCCTATCCCACCACCCTACTCAATGGCAATGAGGGTCACATGATACACCTATAAGCACAAAAGGAAATGTGTCAAGCTCATATGCAATTTTATTGATATTTACGGGACAATGAACGCTGAATATACTCAGCTTTGAATATCAACAGACACATTTTGGGGTCTTAGTGTTTTATAGATGGAAATATCGATGTTGGATATAGTCATATTCAGAGCTATTCAAGGGTTTGGTAGAAGAAAACAAGTGCAGATGTTGCTAAGAATATTTTAGCAAGACATCATGGCCCTTAAACGTCAGTGTTAGCATTCAAGGGAGAGTAACAGCTCTGGAGGGAAAGAAACAACCAAAAGGTAACATGGAATTTGACAGAATCTACTTTCCTTTATGATTATAGATATGAAGCAAACGTAAAGAAACATAAAACAAGTAGGAAAGGCAGCTGCAAGGTGAGAGGCTGTTTGCACGGGACTACTGGTCTGTGTCGGGTGCACTGTGTGTGGAATGGTACCGTGACTTCCTTGTTCTTAGACGAGGTCTACTGAAGGGTCGGGGGTGATGGACACGAAGATGGAAATTTCCTTTCAAATGAGGTTACCCCAAAGAGTGTGTGTATGTTCATACATGGATGGTAAAATGTGAACAGTTGTTTACTTTTTCTTCGTGGTTCTTATCTTTGACTTTTCTGAATGTTTTAAGTATTTTTAAATAAAGAAGTAGGGGAAAAAACCATGCAGAAATTACCCCTGAATTTGGCATGGGTCTTGAACTCAATGACGAGACGGCCATCCTCTCTGATGTAGATTCTTATGATCTGAAGCCTTGCCGAGAGCACACTGTCTGTCTGGATGCCTGGACAAGCAACCACACACAAAACAAAGTCAGGGCGTGGAGAGGACCCTCCCAGATAGTGACCTGCTTAGACATTGTCCCAGAGACATCTCTGAAAGGATCCAAGTATTTATGGGAATGTAATTTAGAGAAAAGTTATTCATTCACATGAGCCTTGACAATAGACATGAGTGCCGATGGAAATACGCAGCTCATTCTTGGTTCAGTTTTTTCCAGGTCCACTGTCCTGTAGGAGCGCCTTATCTATGTGGTTATCACTTTTCCCAGATGCAGGTTAATCCATTTTAGAAAACAATGGAATCGAAATGCCTGGCACCATAGCGTCTCCATGACATATTTTCTTTTACTTTTAGGACCTAGAGGAGTCCTGAATTCTGACATCTACATTTTATACTCAAACCATGGAGAGGACAGGGAACCTTGTAGAAAGTCAACTGTGGCTTGACACACAGTAAGTAGAGGCAGTTACAGACATGGTGCCCAATGGGTTCAGAATGAACTAAAATAAAATAGAATCAAAGGAGGAGAAAAATAAAAGTTATTAACTCCTCCCTCCAAAAAAGACAAGAGCCAAAGGCCCAAGAGTTGATTTGGTTCAGGCAGGAGAATGTCAAGCTCTTTTCCCTTGGAGAATATAAAACAAACATGATTTGAGCTCAAGCCATTCAACAGAAGAAAGAATGCATCTTCAGCCTCTCTAAAGAATGCTCCCGAAGTTCTTCAGCATCTCTCCCTCAGATGGAGGCTGTTGCCCCTAGAAAGGGAGGGGTGAGCATGGGAGCAGCGGAAGTAAGGGGCAGTGGGCTTGGGGTCATGCTGAGTACAGGACATCGGAAAGGATAAAGAATCAAACAGAAGGATAACAGATCAGCATACTCTCTAGATCTCGGTCAGCCTTTCTGTTTCTCTAGAAGACCATGGGAATGTAGCTACTGTTAGAATTCATTGCTGAGTTAGTCACGATCGAATGTGAGGTAGAGCAGCTAAGGCATCCCTGGGCATACCTGTCCTCCAGAGAACCGTGTCATAGAAGAAAGAGAATTCCATCTCCGTGTGGTGCTCCAAGGAGGCCCAGCCCCTGGGGGCTGTCACATAGATGTAGGACACATAGAGAGGCACGTGCACTGTTAGGAACGACTGTGCCGAATCCCTCACCTGCCGAGGAAACAGTGTGCAAGAGACAGGCTTATGTCTTTCCTGGGAGGAAAGGGTAGACGACGTTGCCTCTTGGCTCAGTGTCCACCCACTCCCTTGGTCACTGGCTCATACAGGAATTCCTCATCAAATGCCTAACTTGCAGTTTGTCCTCGAAACATAAAGAGGGTACATGGTGGCCAAGAGGCATCTTCAGAAGAGGTGACCTTCAAGGGCTTTTCTGAAAAGGTGACACTCGGACACAAACATTTTGAAAGAGTTAAGAACCATCTTCGCTTCTGATCCTCAGTTTCTAGAGGCTTTCTCTGGAAACGTGAAGCCTCACAGGGCAAGGGATGAGCCCGCTGACTTGTACCCTTCTGTCAGCGTGCTCAACCAGAGACCCGCAGGAGATGCTGAGCAATGGTGATCGGCAAGGCACCCAAGTCCTGTCCTCTGGTATGAACACACGCCTGGCTCAGCGTGTCTTAGTGAGCAATCACATTCTCGTGCCAGGAGTAAAGGCCCCACTGGCATCTAGGGAGCTCACCAACAGCTCAAGGCTGCAGGGGCTCCCTCCCGCTGTTCCCTGGCACAGACAGTATTGTGGAGACTTGATTAACAAGATCACCATTCAAGGGAACACCACTCTCTAGGGGGCTCCTTCACGGTCTTTACTTGGGTGCACTAACGTGCGTTTTACTTGGCCATGAACAAAAACTGGATGGGAAAATAATAAAACGGTAGCAGATGTCCAAGTGTGGATGGGAGAATGTATTTAAAAATTCATATTTTTTGCTCTATAAATATGTATTTCTTCTATAAGAAAAAGCTAAGTTAATAAGTTTGGAACAATTCTATTGTGTTATTGGGCAAGTACGATGAGATCTTGACGGATATGTTTTCCCCTCTGTTCTCATTGGTTTCCTTTATCCTAGATGATGTTTCTTGCTAATCTTTAAGAACGTTCTCCGACACATATTTCATGCATACCTGCTGTGTGTTATGCAGAGAGCATGAGCCAACGTTTAATGTGGGCTCAGGGAGGTTGTCTCCGCCCTAGTTGAGAGACACTGAATAAGACTTTATTTCCTGTTTCTCTGGTGTTTCTTCAATTACAATTAGCAATTTCTATTATTTTTAGAGAAACAAACAACAATGGGATTTTTTTTCTGTCTTAAATTTTAAAAGTGGACATAAACAGTCCTCACCTTTGGGACTTTTAAAAGACCGTTATGAACAAAAATACCAAGCTCTGCAATTGAAGAAAAGTTATGGAGAACAGAGAACGTTAATTTTCGAGGGGAGGAATAATAAGGTTTGTGACTGTTCACAGCCTGGGACTATGTGGGCCAGGCATCTGCAGGATCAAAAACAAAGGCAGGCCACCTTGAAGTTTCATCCAGTAGAGGGCAGTGCTGCACACAAAACCAGAGGCCGGGACACAAAGAACACATTTGAAATGAGATAGCTCCGTCCCACTGTTGCTTTTACAGTACTGTCCGATGTCTCTGGCTTCTCCCTAGAAGAGCTGCTGACATCAGGACTGACCAGTGGTTTGCTAACCATGCACATGTACACGCATGTGTGTGCATGTATCGGGTGGTGAATCTGGGCTAAGCACGGAGTGAAAGCGCTCAAAACAACAGACTCTTCCCAGCGTTCTGGAATCTAGAATTGTCTTCTGAGAGGCCTGCCACCCGCTATTCTAATTCATTGCAAGCGGGGAAGAAGGACAGGCACATGAACAAGCCCAGTATCAAATTAAATCTTCTCTACATCCCAAAGGATACACAGAGAAAAGAACCACACAGGCATCTAAAGAAGCAGGTTCTTGATTTTTGTCCAGATAGTTTGCCACAGTAATTTTCTTATACTTTAACTTGATTTAGAAGACTGCAGGGCCATTTTAACCACAATACCGCCAAGACCCAGAGAAAGGACTTATACAGAATCTATTCCCTACCTGGCTAGCCCAGTTAGGACTGTTATGTGCTAGCTGAACAGAGTTGGCACAGCACCCAAGCACCCACCTGGAAGTCGGGAGTCACGGAGCCCCTGCATATGTTGATCAGCTCGGTCATGTCATAGAGCGCATTGAACAGGAAGGGCACCCACCTGGAAGTCTGCAGTCACGGAGCCCCCGCACACGTCAATCAGCTCGGTCATGTCATAGAATGCATCGAAGGTCCACACGCAGCTCTTCAGGTTCAAGTGTCTGTACAGCTGGATGGTCTTAGTCTCCCGGACGCTTGGGTCAAACTGGAAGGGGCGGTCATAGCCGGGGCCCAGGGCAGTGCTGTGGAAACCTGCATCATCCAGGAACCCTGCCTCTGCAGGGAGGGAGAACAAGGGACAGTGACGTGGTCAGAGCCTGCCAGGAGCTGGGTGAAGGGGACATTGCTGAGCTGTTCATCTCAGACTATGGCCGGGTCTCCCTTGGAATCCCCATGTACAGTGAGGTGGAGAGGAGATCTCGTAAATGGGTGAGCCACCTGCTGGGGGCTGAGGACATGTCTCAGCAGGCAGACTGCTCCTCACAGAATATGCATGAGGTCCTGATCAGGGATCCCCAGCACCCATAGAAAAAAGCCAGATATGGAGGCCATGTATGTGTAGTTCCCGTGCTGGAGCATGGAGACACATGTGTGTAGTTCCTGTGCTGGAGCATGGAGACACACGTGTGTGTGTAGTCCCAGTGCTGGAGCATAGAGACACATGTGTGTGGTTCCCGTGCTGGAGCACTGAGACGCATGTGTGTAGTCCCAGTGTTGGAGCATGGAGACACATGTGTGTGGTTCCAGTGCTGGAGCATGAAGACACGTGGGGCCCTGGAACTCAGTGGGCAGCCAGAGAGCTCCAAGGCTTAATGAAGGGATTGTGTTTCAAAAAGTAAAGGGGAGAATGACTAAGGAAGACACCTTTAATGGAGCTTCGGCCTACACAAGTGTACAAACACACACACGCAGATGAACTTGCACATATGGGGGTGGAAAAGAGAGTGCACTGAACTGCCTGTTGCCTAGTATTAAATGGGAGCACTGCTCCTCTAAGAAACTCAGGTACCCAGGAGAAAGGATGAAGACAACATGACATCATGGATGAATAAAGCAATTTCCCAAGTGTTTCCCCAGCTCCTGGGACTCACCACTGGTCTGGGTGAAACTGACCTGCTCTGTGGATCACAGCCACGAATAACTATTTTTAAGACCAATATGAAAAAGAGCCTTATGAAAAGCCATAAAACCAAGGTCCGACTTCCTTCTCACCCTTCCTCCAGTAGTCCCTGAACTCTTGGGGGGATAAAACTGCCTTAATTAGTAAATAGCTTGCCAAAGATGCCTGACTCAACCCCACCTGCTACGGGTCAGAATTACTAGATCAAACCCTGCCAAGCCTGTGAGCTGCTGTGAAGTACAGAAGACAGTTGAGTATTGGTACAGTTTTAGAACATTTGAAATAAAATGAACGGTTTCATGTTTTTATTTATTTGTGTGTGTGTGTGTGTGTGTGTGCATAGATGCACAAACCTGTATGTGTGTGTATAAGACTATGGCATGGAGGTCAGAGGGCAGCTTGTGGGAGTCAGTTCTCTCCGCCTAACGTGGTCCTGGAGACCAATCTCAGGCCATTAAGCCTCTGAGTACCTACATTCTCTGAGCATCCTGCTGGCCTCAGAGTATAACTCTTAGAGCACTAAAAGTGGCTAATGTATCCACAATGCTTGCCACCAGCAACCAGCCCTTTGTCCTGTCAGGGACTCAACTGATCTGTGATGAATTTAAATATCTTTAAAGAGGGGAGAGGTAGAGATTTGCAATTTTTAATCACGGTAGTTTCCTTCATTGCCTATGTATTTGGACCAATTCACCTTTCATGTGTAGTTCAATGGTTTAAGAATAATTTGGGCCCAACTGTACAAAGACCACCACTACCAAGAAGGGTACCTAATGAATATGTAAGAGCAGATGAATGCACTTCTGTCTTCCAAACCACTGTTGAATGATTCATCAGATGAAGCGGTGGGGGCAGGGGGCAGTGGGTGAGCACACATTTCACGGGCACTGGCCAAGGCAAATGGAAACCGACAGGACTTTCTGTACAGTGCAGTATCTGCTGTGGCGAACCAAGACGTGATATGTGCCGTTAGCTCTTGGCTGCGTCAAGCCCTCATCTGCTGTGGTGTGCCCAGCCAAGGTCAAGCTCTTGCCAAGAACGGCCCATGGGTGACAGGGGGAGGTAGGCTACCCAGCGTTCTCCTCGGCCTTTCTCTCTTCACTAGGCTGCAGGCTGTTGGGTGTTTCCCTCTGCCCAATCCTGCTTCTCCCCCTTACCTTTGAGTAGATGCTGATCTCTAAAGACAACCATGTTCCCTACACTTTATCTCAGTTCCTGCTTCTAGAGTATCCACCCTTCAGCATCTAATGCTGTGCTTTCTAAAGGTGTTGCTGTCACGGGAGCCTGGGAGCCCAGAACTAAGAACGGTCTCCAAGGGTGGGGAAGTAACTCCTATTTACCACGGAGGCGTTTTAAACTTAACAACACATCGGATCCTCCCCCATTTGACTGGTAGAAAGAGTTGTTTCTGCATCACAGACAGTTAAGAACACGGTGGCTGAGAGAGGTCAAACCACTTTTGTTCAGTGAAGGTAATGGCTCAGAACAGGCTTGGAATCTAAGTCAATTGCATCTGAGAGCCCTCCTTTGCCTGCTTACTTCAGTTGAGCCCCCCCCCCCCCCGTGTTTGGATGCTTTCAAATAAGGAAAATTTGATGTAGAGTTGAGGGTTAGAAACCACACGAAGTCTGTTCCTCCCCATGGAGTCCTGCCTCCAGCGCACAGGAGCAAGCTCACCCGAGAGTCCTCGCAGGTCACGGGCGGTGACTAGATTGGAGCAGACGTGCTGGTGTCTGTAGATGGACTCCGACAGCAGGAAGTGAAGGTTGTGCAGGGGCATGGTGGAGATGAGAGGCAACATCCCGTCCTGGTGGGGGATCTGCACGGAAATGTGGATTCTGGAAGGGAGAAGACAGACGTGTCCGGCCGCGGGTCGGAGCAGCCGGCTGGCCACACGACTTTGTCGTCACTGATTTGTCTTGGCCAGAGAATCTAGCAGTTTTCATCCCCTTGAAGTTTTCCACGTGGGATTTGTATCTGACCTCGAGCATGTGGGTGGGTGGTTCTGAACCCCCCCTAATGCTGCAACCCTTTAATACAGTTCCTCAGGCTGTGGTGACCCCCGACCCTGAAATTATTCCCATTGCCACTCATAACTGTCATTTCGCTTGGGTTACAAATTGTAATGCAAATATTGGTGTTTTCTGATGATCTTACGAGAGACCCAGGTGAAAGGGTCAGTTGAGCTCTGAAGGGGTTGTGACCCACAGCTTGAGAACCTCCGGGTCACATGCAGGGTCACTTTCACTCCCAAAGGATCTTCAAGACTCATGGCAGTCAGGAAGCATAGGGTTTATTTTTCTTTCTATACAGGATAACAATACACTCGCAAGTTACTCTGAAGCTTCCATTTTCGTCAAGGGGCATCCTTGTGTCTTTGGGAACTAAGGCTTTAGTAACTGATATAGCTGCTGTGCCTACTCTGTCTCCATGTTCACATGCTTCTTTGTATGTGTGTGTCATGTATGCTGTTGTGCGTGTGCATGTTTACATGTGTGTAGGTACACATGCACTATGTGTCTTCATGTGCTCTTTAGGAAGCTAGAAGCTGACATCAGACGTCCCCCTGGATCTCACTCCAGGTCAAGGCGGGGTCTCTTGCTGAGCCTGGAGCTCATTGGTCTAGCAGTCTTGGCTAGCCATGTTGCCCTGGTGAACCCGATTCTCTGTCTCCTGAGTGCTAGGATTACAAGTGGCTTCAACAACTGCTCAGTTGATTTCACATGGGTTCTAGAGATCTCAGCTCCATCCCCATACTGTGTGCCAGGTGCCTTTAGCCACTGAGCCATTTCCCCAGCCTGTGTTTAATGTTTTTAGGGATTTATTTTAATAGTAATAATGAATAATAAAATGGTAGAATTCTTAAAATTTAAGGTCAGTTTCTTCACCCAGCCACACCCTACTAACCACAGTGTCTTTGTCCTCTCTCTTTCAAGTCCCCCCCGCCCCCGAACCCCTTGCATTCCATTCTGACCATCCTCCCTGTGCAGCAACCTTTGGCTCAATCTCTACTCCTCAGCACTGGAAAGCCTTTGTCCCAGGCTGTGTGTAACTCATTTACACCGGCTGCTGTTTTCTTGTGTGTTTACAGACTGCTTATCTTGCCTCCCCACTCCGAGGACAAGGACCATTTCCTTCATTGCCTTTGTCTCTGCAGTGCATGTAGAATACAATTCAAAATAAAACATGAACTTAATAAATACCGGTTAAAGCCGGGGACGCAAGCAGAGCCGTACTTATGGGCCGCATTTGTTTTCATTGCACAAGTTTAAATTTTCACGAAGCTTATTGAGTGTGGGCTTTGACTTTCTAAAGCTTGTCTGCGAGCTCATTTTTTTTAGAGGAATTCAGACATGAGAGGTAAGGAGCGTGGCTCTTCACCTAGGAGAGGGCCGGTGCTGCCTGCATTCTTCTGTTACTGTTCCCTAGCAGAAATAAATCCTACTCTGTTTGAAAAGAAGGGGGATTTGCATACACTCGGCCCCACTCAGTTGTTCATAAAGGTAGATGCTTAAACTCCATGAAGTTTAATGAATATGTATGACATGGTGGACTTCTCCTGCTATGCAACAGATGAAAGTATCCGTCTCCCATTAAAATCGTGGGGGCAGAGGGAAAAAAAAAGTCTAGTGACTTGCAGTTTTGACCGGGTTATTGCTCATTAGTTCAGCAGATATTCAGCAAGTGTGTCTTGGGGACCAGCGGCATTGAACTAGATGGAAGAGATACAAAATAGATCATCGCGGTCCCTTCCCTTAAGGTTTCCACCATCTATCACACCGCATGGATGCCAAGAACGATGCTAACACACTGAACGCAGCATAGATGGGCATCCGAGGAGTGGAGGAAATGCTGAAAGTGTTCCAGAAGAGACGTCGGGTGTTCCACAGTATAGCACAAGAGGACTTAATTATGGCAAGTGGAGGGAGTGGAAGAACTGGGGTTGGGGCTCTAAAGCATGTAACGCCAAAGCCTTTGAAGCTCTTGGGAGGTAGCGTGATTCTCTGCAGGTGGCTGGCGGGGCAGGTGCAACGCACAAGGTGAGATGAATGAGGCTAGGAAGACAGGCAAGCGGCCAGACCTTGAGGGGCCTTTGAAGAAAGCCTTTCTTCTGGGGCTCTAATTACCACGAGATAAACTTGCAGAGATGTCTCGCACTGATCTTACTCATCTGAGATGGAAAACACACACGGATACTTGCAATCCATTCATGGGGGGCAGGGGTGTGGGACAAAGTGGGAGGGGGAAGATGTTGCCTGACCTGTTAGGATGCTCTTTGTGTTTGACGTCCAGGTATTTCAAGGTGGCAATGAAGGACTGTGCCTGGAAGCCTCGAGCTGTCCCAGCGACCACTGGGGTGTGGCAGATAGCACTGTCTGTTCCAATGGTAACAACATTGCTCCTCAAGGGGGTCCCTACATGGCCCACCTTGTCCACAGCCTTTGCCACACAACGCACATGGAACCTCCGGCTGAAGTAAATGCTGTCTAGAACCTATGGGACAAAGCACCACAGATATGAATATACTGCATAAGCACTGTGAATGATGGGTATGATACAGGAAACACTGTTACAGAGTTAGCTACAGAGGCCATCCATCCATCCGTCCATCCATCATTCGTCTATCCACCCATCCATTCATCCATCCATCATTCATCTATCCACCCATCCATTCATCTACCCATCCATTCATCCATCCATCCGTCCATGCATGTATGCATCAACCCACTGACACGTCCATCTGTCCATTTATTATGTAGTGCCAATGATATCCATCATGAACCAAGCACTAAGGTCAGAGAAGTAGATACTTGTAGTGTAAGAGGATGAGAAAGAAAATGAGCAAGTAAACATAAAACAAGCATCAAAAGACAGTCTACAGTAACTGTGTCTGTTGTTCTCCTTAGACCGGAAGTTCAGTATCAGGGCAACACAACTGCTTCTCACATTTTCCAGCAAGACTCGCTGGCCTACAGGCCACAGCTGCTGAGAATGTGCTGTAATGAGGCTAAGCCTGGACACATGGGACATATTTCTTTATCTTCCACGAAAAAGCCTCGCCTCAGAATCAGCCTTTCAAGAGTGAATGGAAGAGGCTAAGATATCTGGCCAATGACATCCCAAACTCAAAACCTTGGGCACAGAAGGCAGCTTGCTTCCCAAGGGAACGCGTGCTCCCCTCTTGTCGCCCCGACAGCAGCAGCCTTTCTCCTCCCCCATTTCTAGAAGTTCTCTGCTACTGGCTGATCAGGGAGGCCGACCGGAGGGGTTAGTTTCTGATCTCTGTCAGCCGGATACTTAATAAAGCTTCATCTATTTTGCAAAAATCTGATGTAGCATCCTGACTTCTGTGTGTCAGACAGTGAGTCCTTCCTGAGCAACAGAAGCAGAGACTTTCCCAACACTTCCCAAGACATTGCAGAGGTCATGGCATCGTAAAAGCTTGAAGCTAAGAACTTGGCCTCTGATGCCTCGTGGCCTTTGAAATGCTCTCCCTGGATTCCTTCCCATTTCTAGAAATGGAGAGGCATGAGGAGCAAGGGCAGTTGAGAGGCAACGTAGTAGGTCCCTGTTACCTGGACATGCTAGGTGATTGTGTGCACACACGGGAAGTACAAGTCAGGAAAGTTCTGTGTGCCTTAGACCTCCCACAAAGCAAGTACATAAATGTTAAATTCCTCCCGTGGAGACAATTTTCATTGAAGTCCATTAAAAATTAAAGAAAAATTTCCCATTAAACTTTTTTTAATTAGCTGCCATCTCTTCATTTATTTATACAGGGACTTAGTCTAGGAGGGATGCTAGGCATGGCACAAAAATGCATAAACACAATGGTATTAAATAAACAACTGAAGAAATGGGCATAAAGCAAAGGAAACTGGGTGAAGGGTATTAGTCACCAGTTCAATGCAGGAGAGAAGTTAGGGCCACGATGCTATAAACTTAGTACCTGGAAAAACATGTACTTTTGGCTCAAATACAAGGTTCTGGTTTGAAACAAAATTAGATACTTTTAATAAACTGTTAAGTCTTACTTTAAAGGGTTCTCTCTCTATTTCTCTCTCTCTCCCCCCCCCCTCTGTTGTTTGTCACTGTCCTGCACACTCCAGGCTAATAAGATTCCAGGGATATTCTTGTTCCCACCGCCCACTTCACCACAGGGTCACTGAAATGATGTGTTGGCCGCCATGCCCAGTTTTACATGGGTTCTGGAGATTCAAACTCAGGTTCTCGTGTGTGTATAGCAAGAGCTCTATCTCGGAAGCATTTCTTAAGCCCTTAAAATTTTAATAACGCAGAAGGTGATTTAAATTTGTGCTATTTTGCAAAAGAACAGATTTCCCAGTCTTTGTAAGTGGGGCCGATGACAGTGGCTGTGAGTGACCCTGTTCTTCAAGAAACACAGTCTGAAAATAATCTCAGAGGCCCAAAAGTAGTCAGCACAGACATTTTGCTATGTGTCAGTCAGCTAGAGTCTGCATTGAGACCGAGTCTTGACTGTCTTAAAAACAAACAAAAACCATATCCCTGGTGGATGAGGATATCTGCTGTGGGACACGTCTTCCCAAGTCTGGGCAAACAGAGCAGTGACTGCTCTCTGGTCTGCGGTGGGTGGGATGTAGGTGTGCTCCATCTAGGAGCCTCTTTTCCTGTCTCCCCACAGTGCTTTGTAAATGTGGGAGAAATCTGAATCCCCAAAAAGTTTATATCCAAATACTTATTGAATGATTAAAACAAACATAAAAAGGAATCACTTAATGGCACCCACCTGGAATCTTGGACAAGCTTGATCTTTTATAAGCCACACTGGTCAGTGATCTTGTCAAGTGGCCAAGAGGAGGAAATATTCTACAGATCAGGAGGCTAAGACAGGTCAAAGAATGACTTTATGTTAAGTGGCCAAAAGGTGGGCAGACTGGGATTTGTAAACAGGCCAGCAGATGACTGACTTAGCTCTCTTTCGATTGTACCTCTTTACTTTGTCTAGCATCTAAGCCTAGACCTGATTATTTGTTTCACTCCAAACGCCACGCACGGACTCATGGGATTTGACAAGAGCGACACCAACTCTTTTCTTCCTGATTTGGGTTCGGCCTGCCTTACCTTATGGTTGACGCTGGTGAACGGTGTGTTATCAGTGATGGTCTCAAAGGGAGACCGGGCCCCGTTGCCATCCGTGGGCGCTGCCACTTCCCAGCTGAACTGCACAGATGTTTGGTTGATGCCAGCCTCGCTGCAGCGGTCCTTCATGACGGCATACCTAGGGAAGTGGGGGTCACAGGGCGTGACACAGACCAGCGGGTAGCCAGGAGACGGGGCTTTCTTGACGCCTTCCTTTGAAACCTCTTCCACATGATCATAGTCAGCGAGGGTGACGACCTAGGAGAAAGCAGCAGAGCTTCAGGTTGGGTTGAGGAACGTGAAGATCAGGGAACTATGGCAGCCTTCAGAGACCACACAACCTCTTAACTCCTAGGAATTCCGTAAGCCACAACAGGAAACAGTAGTTCCTTGCCAGGCAAAGGTGAAGGCACTATATGTGGAGGAGACTCCCCCGCCCCCCCAGAAGCCTTCTTAACATATCAGCTGCATTCCGGAAACTGGAGTCTTATCTCTTATGAGAAAAAAAAAACTTTAATTCTTTTACGCATTGGATCGCAGATTCTGTTACAAATGGCAGCTGCTAATGGAGTTGATGGTGCAGAAGGGCATGCTTGTCCAAGACAGAAAAATAAAAATAATGAAGGTAGCGTATTTGTTTCATAGTCAGACAAGAGAAAAATTTTGAAATGCTCATCTCTTCTAATACGTAAGAGAGGAGTTAGGGGAATCTGGAAGAGTAGTTCTGATTACTTGACTCATAGATTGAGGGTCCACTGGGGACCCTTGGGCATTGTCTCCTTAGTGGCGCTCATTCTATTCTGCCCAAACTGAGAAACCTGGTAGTACATCTCCACGTGTACTTAATTCTGTGTGCTGAGTATGGAGGATGATCGATACGTACAGTAGTATTGCTTTCTTACTCTGCCCACGAGAGCCATGAGAAGATAACCGGATTGCACTGTCTATCTTTATCCAATCAATATGGCGATAGCTTGGGTCTTGCATCAGGAATGGGCTCCTCCACCCTCCACACTATTAGTATTTGCACCAAATAACTGCTTTTTTTTCTGTTGGGGGCCATGCTGTGCACTGAAGGGTTCTTTGTAGAATCTGTGGGTTCTACCCACTAGTTGGTCATAGGACCCTGAGTGAGAGATGTACCAAGCATAAAACGCCTCCAGACAAGGTCTGTCATTCTCTGTAGGGGGTCAGTGGGCAGAGAGATCCTCTTGGCACAGTGCCAAGAGCAAAGAAGCACACACTGTATCTATCTCCTCCCCAGTTCTCCACTACAGGCCACTGAGACACAAAACCAGCCCTCCTTTGGAGCAAGCAACTCACAATGGGTGGTGCCGGCAATATGAGACTTCCTGCGGCCTCTTGGTCTAGAATCGTCACAGTGGTAGTGGTCACGTCCCCAAGCACTGCTTCCACGGGATCATCTGGGCCAAGGACTAGAGAAAAGGATTCATGCCATTCTCGATCTTCGTTGGACAGGATCTCGACTTTGAAGAAGATATGATCCACACCTTCACCAAGGACAGAACAGAAGGAGCAAAGGTGAGGGCACGCACTCAAGAGAGCACAGGCTGGCATGGCTCAGACATCACATTAAAATATGCCCTGTCCTTTCAGGGGCCCCTCACAGATGCAATGTCTGCTAATCACGCAGACCCGTCTCAAGCGGAGGCTGTTTTATAGACCCAGTTCTACCTGTGGTAGAGACTCGGCTCCGCAGATTTACTATTCAACACCACATAAGGATTAATGGCCCCTGCCTGACACAGGCTGGCTGTAATAAAAATCCATGATCCAAAGTACACTTCATCCTGGTTACTCTTTTCTTTTTTTCTTTTTGCTTAATTTTTCTTTCCCTTTTACACTTACACATGAGCTCTCACGTGACTGTGAAAGCTTGCGCACAGAGGCCCTTCGAGGCAAAGGCCCACAGGCTGTCTACCGGGCCAGGCTTTGCAAAGGTAATAACAGAGAGGACCAGATGCCGGGAGGAGGCAGGCGATGGCTTTAGAAGTTCACGCCATCTCTTGTGAAGTGCAGGGCAATGAGGCCCTTTCTTCCCCTCCCTCTCGCATCTGGTCCATGCTGCTTCTGACCCGTTCTCCATTCAGGATCTTAGGCAGCAAAAAATAAAGAGTAAGGAACAGTAACGCAGATGTGGAAGGCTGGCTACGGTTCCAGCAAACACCAGCTGGACACACAAAAGATGGAAGCTGTGCTGCCTAGTTCTATGTCAACTGGACACAAGCTAAAATCACTGCAGAGGAGAAAGCCTCAGTTGAGAAGATTTCTCCATAAGATCCGGCTGCAGGCAAGCCTGTCGTGTATTTTCTTAGTTAGTGATTGATGTGGCAGGGCCATTGAATGTGGGTGGGGCCATTCTTAGGCTGGTGGTCCTGGGTTCTAGATGTAGGCAGAGCAAGCCACAGGGAGCAAGCCAGTAAGCAGCACCCCTCCATGGCTTCTGCATCAGCTCCTGCCTCTAGCTTCCTGCCCTGACTTCCTTCACTGATAGACTATGATGTGGGATTGAAAACCAAGTAAACCCTCCCCTCCTCAGCTTGCTTTAGGTTGTGGAGTTTCATCATAGCGATAGTAGCCCCGAGTAAGACAGCAGAAAGCCCCATAAAGCTCCAGAGAGGTCTCTGAGCTGCAGGAATCACTATCCATTTCCTCTACCAAATCAATGCATCAGAGGGTCAAATGGTCACGACTGGATTCTTGTGGTTCTCCCTTCCCAGACCTACCACCATTTTTGTCTCCAGGATAAAGTATTTTTGGAAACTTGTGACAGGCTATCCTATTTCCCAGTAGATTTAAAACCATTTGCACATTGTTATTACATCTTTTAGACTTTGGTAAGCCTTAAAGGGATCAGAACAGCATTTTCACCATATATCAGATGATACATGTGCATATATCTGTATTTAAAACTGAGTGTTGCTTCACCCAACTAAACAAAAAGCTAACAAAAATCCTTCAAATAAACCCAAATGCCCAGGGTGTTTTATGAATGGGTACTTTTTTTTTTTTTTAAAGAACTAGCTACTTGTTTTACCTGCAATCTCAAATATATATTTAGTAAATGTTTTATTCTATTGACGCTAGTACAATCTAATTCAATATCTTATCCTAATCCTGTATTCAAATATAACATGTTTTCCTCTCCACTAAGAAAACCCCAGCTGGTAGTAGTGGCGCATGCCTTTAATGCCAGCACTTGGAAGGCAGAGACAGGTGGAAGTCTGTAAGTTTGAGGTTAATGTGGTCTACAGAGCAGGTTCCAGGACAGCCAGGGTTACACAGAGAAATCCTGTCTCTCAAAAAAACAAAACAAAAAGTAAGCAAGCAAAAAATAACAAAAACAAAAAGATCCCTATAAACTGGACTGGTGGGAATGGGAGGGACAAGGAAAGACAATGTGGGGAGGGGTGGATATGATCAAAATGCATTATATACAGGTATAAAAATAGCATAATGAAATCTATTATTATATATAACCAGTAAATGCTAGCCTAAAAACAAGAAAAAAGAAAACCCAAAGACTGACATTGGCCCTCACTTACCAGGACTGAATTTCAAGACTCGGCTCTTGGGGTGGTAATCCACACCAGACTGGGCAGAGCCATCGCGCGTGCTACAGCGGATCTTTGAAGTCCTGTTCTGATCACCTCTGCGGATGACCTTGATGCTCAGAACTGCAATGGCATCTGGCCCCGCAGGTTCCCGGACTTGGTAAGCAGCCTCTTCAAATTCAATGGTAGGGGCTAAGGAGAATAAGAGCAAGTTAGAATAGCTCAAAGGATCAGACTCCGAAGGAACCAGCTTCTAGGGACCTGAGAGAGCGTTCACAGTACCACGGCCAAGTGGCTAGCAGTCATAAAAATCACCAGCATTTACCCCTCAGTAACGTTTTAGACAAAGGAACTCATCTGGGCTCCTGTAGGAATTATTTATCACATGATTCTTATTAAAACCAAAAAAGAAGACTTTAAAATGTTTGATAGCCAAGCTTCCACTATGACATCATAGTTCAAAGAATGTTTTTAAACTAAAGCTTTTAAAATTAAAATTTGCATAATTTATCAAGTGACTGGGACATAGGTACTCAAAAAATATCTATTGATTGATTGCATAAATAAACTTTTTAGTTATAAGCTGCAAGTTTTTATGGTTTATAAGGTATCTCATTTACAGATTCCTTAAGTAAACTAACTCCATGTTTTACACCTGGGCCTTCAGACTGCTGTCTGTGTTTTGATCTTCCCTATGCTAGTCTTTCCAAAGATCTCCATATTTATTTCAGTCAGTATAGTTAGCTTGGGAGCACAAGCTTTCTTGACACAATGTCTGAGGCACTATTGTTGCTGGAAAATGATTAATAATAATACTCATTTTTATCCCATGAATTCAAATTTCATGACGAAAGGAAGGCTAAAATGATGCCAGAAAAGAAGATAAGATGATGGGGAAATTGAGAGCAGTTTTTAATTTTATAATCATCTTAGCACATTACAGAATATTTTAGAAGTTTCTCATCTCTGTTTTTTCTGTTTTCCAGAAAGTTTCATGGTGACTTACTTTATAGTTTCAGGTGAGAAGGTCTTTGAAACATTGGAACACTGCTGAATGGGCTGAATTTATTACCTTTTGTTTGAATCCTTTTCTTTTATCTGTATTCATGTATATGTATACACTGTGTAGGTGCCCAGGGGGTCAGAAACAAGCATTGGGTCCCTTGTGGCTGGATTACAGGCAGCTGTGAGCTGCTTCAAGTGGCTGCTGGCAACTGAACTCCAGCTGTCTGCAAGAGCAGCCATTGCTCTTACCCGCTGAGGACCTTCCAGTCTCAGTCTTGCTGAGTCTTGATCATTGTGTTTTCTTTGAGTCTGAGAAAGGTTCACCTTGGGGGTTGAACCTAGGTTTGTATACAGGACTAATTCAACTACAAGGCAGTGTGTGTGTGTGTGTGTGTGTGTGTGTGTATGTGTGTGGTTGTGTGCATGTAGAGGCAAGATGTCAACTCAGGTGACATCAATAGCCATCTACTTTTTTTCTAAGGCAGGATCTCTCATTGGAACCTGGGGCTTACCAACTAGGCAAGGAATGCTGAAAACCCCAGGGTTTATCCTGCTTTCACTTCCACAGGTCTGGCTTTTTATGTGGATGTTGGGTATTGAACTCATGTTTTGACCCTTATGCTTGAGGGTCAAACACTTTACCACCTGAACTATCTTCCCAGCCTCGAGGCCAGCTTTCCTTATTGATGTCCCAGATGGCTCCTGAGTTTTCATTAGGATCCTAGGAGGTTTACCACACTCTCAGAGTAGTTAAGAATGCAGACTTTAGAATCCTGAAGAAATCAAGGTTCTCACCCAGTGTTGCTGCTTAGAGCTGTGTAGCTAAGATGCAAATTAAGTGCTTTGTGTAGACTCTGCTTTTTCACATCTGTTTTCATAAAAGTAATGATGTTTTCATCAAAAAACAGGTGCTGTATTCCTTGGGTGTCTGGTCACTCTGCTGGTCACGTGATGTTAGAATTTAAGGTTGTTTCTGTCAGTGGGAGGAGTCAATCGGAAATCGGACTTTGCCAGGAAGACAGCACTGTTTTGGATCAGTTCTCAACGATGTCTGCTTGTATTTCCAGCCCCCTTCCAGACCTGGAGCAACTTATATGGTTTTTATTTTCCGCTCTAAGATCCTGGTTCTAGCTTTGAACCATATCTGTTCTCTATCTGTGACAATGTAGGGAATGATGAGATGAAGGGTTCCTGTGAACTTCCAGGGCCCCACTGAATATTCTATAAAAATATTCAGAGGTTGCCATCCATAGGCACTTTTCTAGCTCTTTCCCTTTCAAAACACTAATATCATTCGTAAGCTTTCTGTTCATGTCCTAGCAACCTCCGAGGGCTAAAAAGGCATTCTCTGCTCTTACCATCTTCGTCATTGGATATGGTGACAGTGGCCACGCTGATCTTCCCGACTCTGGCTCCACTCCAGTGGTTCCCGAGAGGATGGCCAAGATGGACCCTGAACTGCTCCTCAGGCTCAAACATGGAGTCATCATGGATGTAGACAGTGCAGTTCTTCACCTACGACCAACACACAAGACATACTCAACCTTGAAGGAGGAGACCCGTGATAGGCGGTTTTCTTAGATGATAATTTTCTCTCTTTGTAGAGAGAATTTGCAGACTCAAAAGCATCTCAACGGTTTCATGTATAAAATAAATTTGTAATTCTAGCGGTTTATAGCTGAGTAGGATGTACCTATACGGCAATTCTTGCATTATAAAGACATTCCAAATCACTTGAAATCTTGGCGATTAATTTATGAAAACCAAGCCAATACAAGCAACAGCCCACCAAAACACACATGCAAATACTGGTGTGCTTTCCCACATGGTGTCTGGACAAATGAAGATATTTGAACACGTTATAAAGAGCGGAAGTCTAATGATGGGAGTTGGCATAAGGCTCTTCATCCTGGAGGTTGGATAAACTCCCTTTCCTTTGTGAAAATGAAATAACTTCTTAAGGAATTCAGAAAGACACCATCTTAAGCTAAACATAACTTGAAACGCTGAAGATTTTACATTTTCTACCACATAGCATTTTGTCTGAACACTAGAGGATGGAAAACTGGGGCCAGAACCCAAGTTCTTGGTAGAAGTAGGAAACCTAGCATTTCTCAAACTGAATATTCTCCACTGAGGACCATGTTTCTGAGAAAAAAATCATATTTTTTTTTTACATACAGAAACCTCAGCAATAGATTCATGTGATGGGACGTGGGATACCATTGCCTGACCATTTTAAATTTACTACCCAACTGTCTTTCACAGACTGTGTGTGGGCAGGAAGGAGTTCTAAACCATGCTTCTCAAATCACGCTAAATGTAAGTCTTCCCTGCGAACATCGTTTCACGTTTCTCAAGAAAGACTCTTCCCTACAACATCTTCCCTACGGTAAGAATTCATCATAGAATATATGAATTCAGTAGTGACTTTTCAATCTGAGTGTGCCGAGGAATTATCACGGATTGTAGAGTGGGTAGCGAGCGGTCTATTCAATCTCTTCTATTAAATGAAAAGCTATTTCAAAGCTATTTCTTGGCGTAGGCAGTGGTTTTTGTTTGTTTGTTTGTTTTTGAGCTGAAAACAAATGCAGAAGCGCAGACTCAGAGCTCAGGAACGCATCAGCAGTGTTTGTCCACGCCTCTACACTCAGGTTGCCACTAACAAAATTCCCAAACCCGGCACCAGCCTCTGAGTCATGACTCTTTGCGGCTTTGGATTTCCTTTTTGTAGTGAAGATGAGAAGAGTAGGAAGAACTCTGTAGCAGGTCACGTCTTCTCAGGCTAAGGGTCAAAGGATTAACAAGACCTTGGTATATTTGGTTACATCAAAGTGGGACACTTCTGTCAGCTAGGAACATTATGGCTAATTTTAAAAACATTTTAAAAAAAGGGAGTATATAATCATAAAAAAATTAAAATTGAAGTTATAGATAAAAAACAGCCTAAACCACTTGTGAGTCTCATTTAAATTATTATTTCTTGAATTTAGGAGTTAAAGAAAACAGCAGGAGAAGGGACAAGAAATGTTCTTTATTTTCTTTTGTACACTCATATAAATGCAAAAGTAGATGAGAAAGAAATGTTCCTATATGTAGTTTAAAATTTGGACTTAGCAAATATCCCTATGTCCTTATAGCCACTAAGCTACAGCACTAACATAAATTATATTAGAACACATCCTTGCTTCTAATTTTATATTATCATAGTAATTTCCTTTTTAAGTAGTTTGTTTTATTTTTAAATATCTATGTGCATTAGTGTTTGGCCTGCATGTATGTCTGGTAAGAGAGCTGGATCCATTGGAACTTGAGTTACAGACAGTTGTGAGCTGCCGTGTGGGTACTGAGACTTGAACCTGGGTCCTCTGAGAGAGCAGCCAATGCTCTTAACTGCTGAGCCGTCTCTCCAGCCCCTATCATAGTGATTTCTAAATTGATAAAATTCAAGTATGTTATGGCAATTTAATGTTTATTACAACACAAATAAAAATTTGGGGTAAGTAAAAAAAAAATGGTTGAAGTTGATTTGGGTCATGGTGTTGTAGCACATCAATAGAAAACCCTAATGAAGAAGCTGGAACCAGAAGGGGGGTATTGATGTGACAGACCTGACCATGAGTTTCGGGAGAATTGTGGAAAGACTTTGGAACCTTGGGCTAGAAAAGCCATTGAGTGCTCAGAGCTGAGAACACAGAAGGCAATGCTGAGAGCAGGGCAGATGATGGAGGCCTTGCTTGTTAAGGACATTTATGTGATATTTTGAATTCAGCACCACTAAAATAAAACCTTGGCTTTGCTGGGACAGCTGATACTGGCCATCTAGGGCTGAAGAATCAGCTGTGACTGAGAAGAGACCAGCATCACTGAGGTGAGATCTTTGGAAGTATTTCCTCAGGGTCAGCACACGAAGCTGTGGTCCAGAGAAACCAAGGCTGGCCTTTGTGCTGGTGACTGAACATGGAAGACACGAGAGACTCCCAGGCAGTGCTGGTTTTGGAGGCAAGAAAAGGTCATGATGGAGGTGGGTCATTTGTCTATCTGTTGCTTTCTTTGGTTAATTAATAAAGAAAACTGCTTGGCCTTTGATAGGACAGAAAATTAGGTAGGTGGAGAAAACAGAACAGAATGCTGGTAGAAAGAAGCCGAGTCAGGCAGTCGCCATGATTCTCCCACTCCAGACAGACGCAGGTTAAGTTCTTTCCTGGTAAGCCAGCTCGTGGTGCTACACAGAATATTAAAAATGGGTTAGATCAATATGTAAGAGCTAGCCAATAAGAGGTTAAAACTAATGGGCCAAGCAGTGTTTAAAAGAATACAGTTTCTATGTAATTTTTTCGGGTAAAACTAGCCGGGTGGCAGGAAGCAGCCCATTGCTCCCTTTTACAACAGGGTCATGTACAGCATCTGAGGCTTGACACCGTGAGAGGCCAGGAGAAACCACTGGTGAAGACGCAAGCAACCTCAACCGCAGTACAAGTATTGAAGGGGTCATGGAAAGAAGTTGAAGCTTGGTGCTATGTGGCAGGGTTAGAGTCCAGGAGGGAGACCAGACAAGACATCTGGGGAAGGTGCAGCCCAGTCACAGTGGTGACACCAACATTTTAGAGATGCCAGTGTCATGGGGTGACTGCCAAGGAAAGCATGAGCTTGGGAATGGAGCTGTCCTGAGCCGAGAAGACAAGCTGTGTGTGCCGTGGACGGGAGAGAAGCGCCGCTCTCAAGGCCCTCGGGCTCAGAGAACTGTGAGCGTGTCTCAGAAGTCAAGCACTGAACTTTCCACACTGTGGAATTGGGGTCTTGCTTTGTTCTGACTGTAGCTGTGTCCTGTTCTTCCCCTTTTGGAGTAAGAAAAGTATTTGACCTACCTTTTATTTTGACACTCGATACTGAAATTATCGAGAAACTTTGCATCTCTTGCAGAAACTGAACTTTGAAAGAGACCTTGGATGTTTTAAAGGGATTGAACTTTTAAAGTGTTTCAATTCTTAAGAAAGTGGGACTTTTAAAAGAATATTTTATATTTTTATATCAATATTAATATTAGTATTGCCATCTTGTCAACAAAGGAAAGATTCTAGTTGAATAATGATGTGTTTGTGTGTTGAGTTGATGGGATCAATTTTACCAGCCAGGTTTTTTTTTTTTTTTTTTTGTCAACTTGATACAAGTTAAAGTAATTTGGAAAGAGGGTCTCTCAGTTGAGAAAATACCTCCATAGACTGGCCAATAGGCAAGCCTGTGAAGTATCGTCTTCACTGAGGGTGGTGTCAACTCTGGGCAGGTGGTCCTGGCTGGTATGAGCAAGTCATGAAAAGCAAGCCAGTAATCATTATTCCTCCACAGCCTTTGCATCAGTTCCTGCCTTGACTTCCCTGGACAATGGACTGTAAGCTGTAAGATGAAGTAAACCCTTTCCTCTCAAAGTTGCTGTGGGTATAGAAAGGCTAACCACGAAATCCACTAAGCGGTCACGCAAAACAGTAGCAGAGAAACACAAAGCAGAATGACATCTGCTTTATTTTTTATCATTCTACAAAAACAGAAAGGACAAGCAATGCTATTGCAGGAGGGGATACAGACTGATCACAGTCTTCATACACTTCCAGGGATGTTCTGGAAACGTCTCCAGCATTCCTTATCTAATGTAGTGTATGCACATCCTAGCAGTGTGTCCCTGAAGATAAATCTCTAAAGAAATTCTCACTCAGGTCTTGGAAGTGCACACCTGTAAGGACGGACACTGCAACATGACTTGTGGTGACATAGCTACGAAGCTATCTGGTGTGACCACTGAGGCTCCTTACTGTTCCCGAGCATCATGAGTGATATAGAGCAGGCACATGACATGAAGCATTATACAAGACAAGCGCCAGATTAGATATGGATCTAAAAGACACAGGCAGAACGTGAGACAAAATGCTGCAAAAACAGCAGGAGACTAAATAGAGAATAACGTTTTATAAATAACAGATCATGTAGGAAAAACAAAGAATGCTTAAAAAGATTTCTTGAAATTATATTTATGTGCGTGCGCGTGTGTGTGTGAATCCGTGGAGGCTAGAAGAGGGAGTTGGATCCCTCGAGGGTGGAGTGAAGGTCAGCTGTGACTTCCTGACATGGGTGTGAGGAAGTATATTCAGGTCTCCGGGAAGAGTAGCAAGTACTCCTAATAACTGACCCCTAACAGAACAAAACGAAAACACTTCGAGAGAAAAGAAATCAGATAGGAGATACGGATCAAACACAATAGATGAGGAAGAAAATAAGAAACTCAGAAAAACCATGGGAGGAGCATTGCATAGAATGAGGATTATGTGCCTTGAATAAAGAGTGCACACACCTGACTCTGCCATGGGAACTGAGACTTGAAAATGGTTAGTGCAGTTCTTTCGGTCACACCTCTAAGATTGCAATGAGATTCAGAGGCGGTTATATATGAGAGACAATGAGTTTCTCTCTTGAGAGTTACTTTAAGTTAACTGAAAAGGATGAGCAGTTACTATGTCCACTGTCAAGACAACACTTGAGGCTGTGTAGCGCAGGCCTCTTGGCTCCTGTGTTGGGATCTATTTGCCCTGGGACAAAGACCTTGACAACAGAGAACTTCCTTTCGCTGCTGGAACATTGGGTGAGGTATCTCTGTTACAGTTTCATACTAAGAGGTCTATATTTGATTCTACTGGGTTCCATCTAAGCTTCCCATCTGTATGTAACCAATGATGTATGTGTTTGGCTGTAACCAAAGACAAAGAAGACAGCCAAGTGGAATAGGTGGCATTATTAGTAATTTTGTTGATTTGTAAAGAACTATAAGAGCTAGGTCATATCTCATTTACCTCATGGACAGATCAGGGCTAAAGGAGAGAACGTCACTGCTAGCCACCATGCGCTCACTTACCTTCTCCCCTTTCAGGAATGTAATCCTGGAAGAGTCTGCATCCCTTCTCTCCTCAAAGTCCTCCATGACCTGAGCAGAGTGGCTCTGAGTGTAGCACCTCACGGATGACTCATAGCTCAGGTCCCCACTCCGGACGACAGGAACGTGCAGGACACCCTCCTTCTCCTTCACCAGAAGCAAATCCTTGGCAAACTGCATGCTGGGAACTGGACAAGGGATGGGGAGATGGGGGTCTCATCAGTGGGAGACAGAAGACACAGCAACCACAGTGGCGCTCCACAGACAGCCAACTCAGGATGGCAGAGCTAAGGGGACCTCAAGCATGGCTGTGGTTCTCACTCCAATACAAACAGGTGACACACACAAAAACAATACAACAATGATTTGAATATGCCACTTTGCCCACTTTCCTCCTATGGATACAAGAAAAACAAAGTTGGTGACAATTTAGGCCCCTCATACAGGTCCCGGGGTCAGGGAGACACTAGGGAAGAGGGGAAATGCTAATAATGAAAAATAAAACAGAACAAATAACCAAACAGGCTCGATCCATTTAAGGGGCTTTGAGTTTTCTTTGTTTTGTTGTTGTTGCCAGATGTTACTTAAAAGTTAAGTCAGCGATCTAGATTTTTCTCCAAAGTTAGCAACAACAGTAAATAAATACTACAAAGAAATTCCATATGGGTCCAACTTATTTGGACCAAACTATATATATATATGTGTGTGTGTGTATATAAATATGTACATATATGTGTGTGTTGTGTGTATATGTATTTGCATGCATGTATGCATGTGTGCGTATGTATGTACATGCATGTGTTTGTGTGTTGAATTTCACAGGTTGTAATTGAGTTGTGACTAGATATATGGAGTTAGTTGCTCTCTGAAACCTGATAATCTTACTATATATATATATATATGTGTGTGTGTGTGTGTGTATGTACATGCATGTGTGTGTATATGTGATGTGTGTGCATATATATGCATTT